TTATTCCAATGTTGATGGGAAGTCATTAAAAGATTTTAAGCAGCTGAGAAATATACTCTAATGTATATTTTTAAAAGCTCATTTGGGCTATTCTGCAGACAATGGATTGTTGGTGGCTGAGAGTGAAAGCTAAAAGACCAGTGTTGAATACAAATGAGTAACTGGGAAAATTGAATAAGACAATAAACATACTTAACAAAGAAATTTCAAAGTACTAATCAAATGATAGCTATTAATAGGCCAATGACCACTCATCAAGTTAAGTCAAATAATGAGACGAGTCTGTTAACCAGTAGGAAAAATATGAAAGAGCAGATGAAGTGCTTCTCTGAATTTTAGGTTCCTTGTCAATCAAGCAGTATGCCATTATGTACTTCCCGGGGTGTTCACGAAGATGAATAAGTGTCTAGCTCACTACCTGGTCCATAGTAAATGCTCAGCCAAAAATTCGTCTCCTGTTCTACATGACTCCACAGCTAAAAATAGGGTGATGTGTACATAGTCTGAGAATTCAACAAGGCTAAAACGTATGGGTTGAGGTAAAGAATTGAAATGGAAATTAGAGACATCATACTTAATAGCCTGATCCTACACCAGGGATGGCGAACCTATGACACGCGTGTCAGAGGTAACACGCGAACTCATTTTTTTGGTTGATTTTTCTTTGTTAAATGGTATTTAAATATATAAAATAAATATCAAAAATATAAATCTTTGTTTTACTATGGTTGCAAATATCAAAAAATTTCTATATGTGACACGGCACCAGAGTTAAGTTCGGGTTTTTCAAAATGCTGACACGCCGAATTCAAAAGGTTCGCCATCCCTGTCCTACACAGTGATAATTCTACATACTCCCTGTATTTGCAAAGCATTTTATATACACATTCTCCTATTATTGATGGCCTTTTCATGCAAAGTAAACACTCTTAGAATGAGTGCCTTGAAATCCCTATCTACTCAGCTGACCCTTTCTGAACCCTTTGTCATAATCCTACTTCCTCTGCCTTGGCGCTTTTCTAAGGTGACAGCTTGCTTTGGTGTCCTGAAATACTTGAATATTTTCATATAATTCTCCCTTTTTTGATGGACAGATTTATTTTCTATCATCGTTAATGAAATTTCCAGAGATAGGCTGTAGGTAGTTATGCTGGTGAGATTTATGCTTATTTCTCCTTCGCAAAAGAACCCTTTGGAGCAGTACTATGTCATTCAAAACCACTAGAATTATGGCCATCTAGTGCAAATGCAGTCATTCCCATCTAAACTCCCCGAGACACGGGGGCCAATATGTAGAAGTTATTTCAGTAATAGTTCACATCTCCCCACCTTGTTATTTTCTTTGATTTTATTTATTTATTAATTTCATCATGACTGGTTAAGTGTCTTGGTATCTAAAATATGAAGTATTAAAAGCCAGATGTTAGCTGGGATCCATTAAGAAGCAAAGGATTTATACTTCACCTGAGTAACAAGATACCCCCCTTTTTTAAAAAAAAATATATTTCTACTCTGTGTACATTGTGTCTCTAATAATACTCAAAACAACAAGATTTTTGAGTGAAATTTGGTTACATCTATACCTGTACTCTATAAGATAATATCCAATTAACATCTGACTTTTAATGCTTCACATGATCTCAAAACAATTGATGAATTTTTTTTATAACACATTTACTCCAAGACTGTAAAACATTAGAGTCTGAGAAGGACATTGCAGCCTTATCCAGAACTTGCCAATAATTTGTCTTCGTACCTTAGATTTTCTTACCCCCATGGATCTCAAACTCTATTGTATCAGAATCTTCTGGAGGACTTAGTAAATATACCAATGCCCGGGTCCCATCCTACTTCAACAAGTCTGGTCTCCGTGGTCTTTCATAGCGCCACGGGTGATTCTGATTCTCACCAAAGTTTGAAAATCACTGACTTAACCTTTGATATTTTAATTCCTCCAAAAATATATCTCATTGGTTTGATTTTGGGGGGAACCAGAGGATATAACCATTAGACATAGAAGTAACAGAAAATTCCTGGAAACCATTATTACCAAGCAAACATATGTGGAGGTAACTTATAGTCGACCCAATGATAGCATACCCAATAGGCAGGATTTAAGGAGTCTGGTGTAATAGGTGCCTTCTCCCTCCTTGGGAATGTATAGGAATTGGATATGCACACACACACACACACACACACACACACACACACCTCCTGTTTTCAGGAGGATGAAAATCAAGAATGTTTCTTAAATAAATCCCTGTAGTTTTCCCAGGACCCAACCAGAACTTCTCAGTCCCCAGGTTTCCCAGCAGTGTCCCCAATCAATAAACCTGTCAATTAAGCAACTAACATCATTATCATGAATGTAATTACAGACAATAATTATGAGCCCGTAAATGCCTCCCATGAATAAAACACTTTTCCCAAACCATCTCAGCCTCTTTTCTTAGGAAAATGGAAGGCAATCCTACCCCCTACCTCATCCCTAATACAGCCTCCCTTGCTTAGAAAAAACCCGCTCTTGCTGACCCAGGGGAAAGGCTGTACTCCAAGGAGGAATTGTCCCCTTGAGTGGAGTCCCTGTCAGCATCTCTCATCCAAGCCTGTTCACTAGCTCCCCTCACTAGGGAGCAGTGACGACCCAGTTAGGCTGTATTTCTTAATTTCTGTTAAGGCAGAGATATTAATACCTAATTTGAAGAATTTCTGTAGAAAAAATGAAATATTGGAGGCTTTACAAAGTAGCATGATGACTTTTAACATTGCTTAAGCCAGATGCAATTTACTGAGAACTTAGAGAGTCCCAGAAAATAAAGTAGACATCGCAGAAACATGCATGGGTGAGGTTTTTCATGTCTGCAGAAACAAAATGAATCTCTTTGGGCCCAGAATTAACTCTTGCATTCAGTAACTGTATACTTAGCTCATGAAAACCTCAAACCCTTATGGATAATAGGTATTTGAATGGATTCTACATAGATATGTTGAGTCTGAAATGCAATACAATCCCCCAAGATCTCAATCTGTTTCCTTTTAATGGATCATGAGCATAAGTGCCTGTAATTGCACCAGTGGTTGGCATGGTTGAGTCCAGACCATGCATTGAAGAATGCCATATAAACTCTAAGGAGAAAGGACCCATGTTTGTTTCACTGACCTCTACAATGCCTAGCAGCTCTCTGTAGAGTGCATTTTCAGGGCTCTTCTCTGAATAAGAGCAAATGTTACATCCAAAAGCTATCATATTGTATGAATTTTTTTAAAGGGATTATTGCTTACTGGACAAGGTAGGATATTTCGAGCCACAGCATTTCCATTTACTATGACAAGGAAATCATGTGTATGACTTTATTGTTGTGTTTGTTCAAGGTCTTGTTCTGGAATAGAAATGGAGTGTGTGGGTGCCAGGATTTTCACATAGTAACCTGAAGACCCTGAAGGGTAAATGTAATTTCCAAAAGTGACTGAGAGTAGATTATACTTTTAGAGAAACCATCCTGACCAACAAACATCAACTGAAGACATGTAGTAGCTTTAGAGAGGGTGCTTTTGAAAACCTAAACTATTTTTAACCCTTGTGTTAAATAATTTAAGCAACATTTTAAATGTTTGAAAATTCCCAGTACTATGCACAGATCAGAATGGACTTGTCTTTCAGGGAGAGAGATAGAGAGTTAGAAACATCGATGAGAGAGAAACATCGATCAGCTGCCTCCTGCACACTCCCCACTGGGGATGTGTCCGCAACCCAGGTACATGCCCTTGACCGGAATCGAACCTGGGACCTTTCAGTCCGCAGGCTGACGCTCTATCCACTGAGCCAAACCGGTTTCGGCTAAGCAACATTTTAAATGTTTGAAAATTCCCAGTACTATGCACAGATCAGAATGGACTTGTCTTTCTAATATGGATATCTATAGTCCTTTGGTAAATTCAGCATAAAACATTCACTTACAAATTATAGTCTTTCAATCTCTGTATGTGATTGCTTTAAAAGTAGAACTGTGTTTATGTAATATCTTTTCTCATTTTGACAGGCAGTAGCCTAAAAATTTTTGGAAATATGGATGACTAGATGGATTATGTTTTTTAATGTGTATGCCTATACAAATGTGTATTAGCTTGCTCATTTTTACTTTCTACTTTATATCCATGTACAGTATATCTTTATTAAGGGGGTAAAATTCACCACTAGGGAAGGTTAATGTGAGAAAGTTTTCATTATATGATTTCCATTATTCCCCATATTTTAGAGGGCTGATCTTCAAGTCCATATCAATTGAATAGAAAAACAACAACATAATATACATCAATAATTAATTTTCTATACCTCAACCAAAGAGATTTAGGGCTTATCAATCTATCATTGCGACTCTTAATTCACCCCAAACTAAAGTACCACCTGCTGTCCTTCATCAGATCTTATTGCCAATTTGAGACTACATTGAAACCATGTACAAGATCCAGCCTCCTTCTTTTAGGCCATTAGAGGTAGAAGGAGAACAAAGTTGTCACTCAGTGTAGCCACGTGAACATGTCCCACTTAAGTAACAGGGTGCCCCTCAGGTCAGCCTGCGATAAAGCCCAAGTCAAACAAGGCTGAGTCCTGGATGTTTTATGTCCTAAGGATCTGAAATGTCTTCACGACCAGCCCTGACCCTCCTGACCTCAAATGGTCACCTAAGCAGTGACATAAATTGGTGTAAACTTGCTCTTGGGACATTGCCGTGGAAGTGAGACAGGCGAAAGTACAGCCTTCCCAGGGAAGAACTAAACATAAGGGGGAATGGGTTGATTAGTCTGACTGGCAGTTCAACTGTGGTGGCTATATGCCCAAGGCTGACAAATTCTGCATCTTATCACTGCCGTCACACGGAGATGCATGTGAACACCGTCAGTCCAAAAGAATTGAGAAACAACTTGCCTTCCAGCCGTGCATCTCAACCAAACCTTGACAATGCCAACAGCTCATCATCATGTATTTTTCAACCCTCCAGAAAATGGCCTTCCAGCCTGGGACAAACCGAAGCACTGTCCAGACCACGAACAGGACTGGAAGCTAGTAGGAATGTCTGAAGCCTGCCTCCATAGGAAGAGCCATTCGGAGAGGCACAGCACATTGAAAAATGAACAAACATCGCCACATCTCATCCAGACAACTTGGAGTAGCTCCATATTCCATCTGGACCATGACGATGTGAATGATCAGAGTGTCCCAAGTGCCCAGACCTTTCAAACGGAAGAGAAGAAATGTAAAGGTAAGCAGATTTTTACTAGACCAGATCAAGTATTTCAACAAGGACACAAAAAAATGCTTTGTTGTAGCTGTGTGGTTAGTCTTCATGTATTCCAGTGTTCAGTGTCCATGTGTTTTCCCCAACAATTCTGTTACGAAGTTTCTTTATCCCCAAATCTTCTTTTAAACATAAATAAATAAGTGGGTTCCGAAGGGAAGCAGTTAATTTCAGTTTCACGTTGGGTTGGGGCACTTGGGGAGTTGTTTGCGTTTCTCTAATTAGCAGAAAGGTTGTTAGTTTTGGCTTTAATTCTATTTTAAAATCTGAGTAAAAACAGACATTGCTATCATTATAGAAGTACTTGCTTTGAAATGTGGACATGTGTCTGTGTGTGTGTTTCTTTCCCAATTGCGCCAGCAGCTAATGGGATCTCCAAGGCTACCTTTAAACTAAATAGACAATTCATATTCTAAAGAGAGGTTTTAAGTTGTGGGTGGTGTTGTTTTTAACTCATTAAATCCTTGTGTCATCATCCTGAAAGGCGAGATTATGGTTTTAGGAGGTGGTCACCTCGTAAGAAATATGTTAAACTGGCCTAAGTTCCTGATTGCATTCGACTTAACTGGTCTTTACCTCAGGTCGCCTCCACCCTGACAGATGTCTTTGTGCTGATCGCTTTATTGTCTTAGGGCTCCCCAAAATCTTTGCTTCTTAACTTAGTCTTTAAATGTCCAAGAAAGCAATTTGTGTCTTTAAATGTCCAAGTTCATATAACTTCCCATTCATTTTCAATTTAGCGTGTTTTTTTTTAAAAAAAAGGCTTTTGATTTTTTCTTTAAGGATTTTGACTCATGATAATATTATAAATTGGGTCTTTGAATATTTGGCAATCACATACAAGATATGTTAATGAAAGTTTATAAAGACTCCTCTGTATGAGCCATGAAGGACTTTTGCAAACTCTTGTAACTGGGACAGAAACACATGATTTTATTTACCCCTCTAAACGAAAAATGGTTGTTCTTTAGTTTTTCTGGAAACAACTCAATCACTCCTTGGAACTACCAGTTGACCTGGGTGGTTGAGTGTACAGATTTTCAGATGAAAATATAATATCTTAAAATAACAATAAAATAATGGTATAAGCTCTGATTGGAGAATAGCCCAAACTATTTATGTTCTCTTTGTGAAGATTTATGTTTGTCCCTTATCTGTATTATTTAGGAGATTTGAGAAATTAAAAGCAATATTTAGAAAAAAGCAAAATATGTTTTTTTCAAAGGAGTCAGGATATAGGACAGGTGTGTCTGTGTGTATGTACACATTTGTTTGAAATATAATTGAGATTTAGTCTTAGAATTTGTAACTAGATTGTATCTTTGAATTTTGTGAGCTGGCATCAAAACTATGTCAGTACTTGGTGTACAGTGAAATGCCAACAGAAAGTGTAGTGTTCTCGTGATATAAAAACTTCACTGGCTAATTTTGATTTATTCACAATTGGTAGCCATAGTCATTCATTCATTCATTTATTCATTCAATCATAGGGACAATCTCTGCTCCATCATTTATGAGAAATATTGGCCTTGGATGTGTAGAGTCCCCCGCACCATACACTTTTCAAATTGTTCATACACCTTAAAAGCAAAAGGAAAGAGTCTTTATTTGGATCCAAAACCCTAAGTATATATAATACAGTGGTTAAGACCACATTTTGAGTCTGACATATTTGGGCTAGAATACTAGCCCTTCCAAATTTCTGTTCTTGAGCAAACTTATGTGATTCTTGATAAAATTAAATATGATCATGTTTTTAAGCACTTAGCCTAATACCTCCCATATAGTGCTCCCTAAATAGCAGCTATCATTATGACTGTAATCATTGTTGTTAGTTCTGCATCATTAAATCACATCAATTCCTCGGGCTACACCGTGTGTCTGGTAAGGACAGGGGACAGGAAGCAGGACAAATGAGTGTGGGGTGGGACAAGACATTTCAGGGAGGTTAGAGTTGATTTTGCATTCGTTCAGCTCTCTACTGCTGGAAGTCAGAGAATTCTTTAATAAGACATTATAAGTAAATATTAAAGTACTTCCTCAAGATTCTAGTATTAAAAGGAAAGCAACTAAGGTTAATTCTCCTGTAGTTTCCAGGCTAACCAGGGTTCATCTTGGCATGGATGTGAGCCAATGCCTTGGTTCAGTATGAAAATGCCACCAGGAAGGCTATGTTGTCATGGCCCAAGAACCATATTAACTGAATTCCAGTCATTCACAGTGGACACCTATTTACCAGTGAGGCCAGGAAACAATGTGATTAGTCACTCTTCTTTTTTTTTTAACTTGGTTCTTCTCCATCTGCCCTGCTCACCTGCCTCTATATAGTCACTGTGAGGAGAGTTCTATTTTGATGTCCGTCTATACTGGATGTTTATTTCCTGGATATCTCTAGCCCCCAAGCATGCTTGATATCTAAGTTCTGGGCTGTAATTTCATTCATTCATCCCACCACTGTTTATTCAGTGCCTACATGTGTGGAATATTGTCCTTGATGTCCCAGCATGAAGAAATAGCAGTGGGGCTAAATGAACATCTAAGTAATCCCATTTCAGGGACCCCAGATGGAACTGATAAGAACTAAATGGCCTTCAAGGATACAAAAAATTAAGGATCTGCAGTGCAGAAGCCAAAAAAACAAGTTGACTGCTTAATGTTATGTAACGAGCCCAACTCCCAAACCAGTACCCCTGTAAGTGTGATTTGTGGACGAGGATCCTTCTGCAGACGACGACTTTCCCCACTCTATTGATGCAAGTGCAGAAACTGAGAATAAGCTTTAAAAATCTTTATAACAATTTGACATTGCCACTGACATTCAGACGCATGAGCAGTACTTCACATCACTGAACAGGATATAGACCAGTTGGGTATTGTCAATCCTGCCTGTCAGTCATGTGGGGCCAGAGCTACATAAATTCTTGTGTAGTTGAACCATGTATTGAGCCATAATGAGCAGGATACTTCTTTTAAAATAATTTGAGGATCACTGATTTGTGCTTTATAGTGTTCTTCATGTTTCTCTTTAGGTTTATTTTTGTGTGATGCATCTAATGTTTTGTTTTCCATTTTGGTTTGAATTCTACTTTCATTTTAATCTGCACATATCTGTGCTCCTATCTGCTACAGTCATTCTAATGAAATTCATTGGTAGCATATTGAACTAGAATGAGATCTCTGAAGACCTTTCATTCTGCTGCAAAGACCGCAATTTCAAATCTGCTTTAGTACCAGACACTATATCCAGCCAGAAGCAAGTGACCCATTCCCTTCCCCAAGCCAGCCTCTATCTCCACACTACACCTCCCTGGAGTTTTTGTCCCAATTTGAACTGATAGCTTGGCCATGAGGACCTCATCCTTCTGCTGATCTCCTCCATTTCCATAGTCTGAGATGATGTATTGGGTGGTGCTCACAGTTCACCAACCAGTGGCACTAGCAGCACCTGGAGCTTCTTAGAAATGCAGAATTTCAAGCCCCACCCCAGACTCCTGTATTGGAAGCTCTGGAAAGGGGCCCAGGAACCTGAGTATCAGGAAGAACCTTAGACTACAATTCTTAAATTCTTAGTATAGGAAAGGGTCTGCCACCTAGTGGACTTTTGGAAAACTTGCATTTTTCTTCCAGTCATCTCACCTGGGGAGCCATCTGAGTCAATTCTTGATTGGGCCTTCCTTTAGTCCGGGCTTATTAATTTAATTGCCAACTAGATGTTCTACGGAATCACTCTGCCTGGTAACACCTCCCTCTGGGAACTGAACCCTTCTGAGAGTCGGATTCTCTTGGCCTGGAGCCCTGATCCTCCTCTAAGTTTTTATGCTGTATAAGGCTTTTCCACTTGGCCCTTTCACACCCTCCTGAACTCTTCTCCGGAAACCACAGGGTCCCCCGAGACCGACAGGATGGGTCCTAGCAGATGCAGGCACCCCTATAGCTGAATCTAGCCAGCCCTGATAAGCCCAGATAAATAATCAGACCTCCATACTTCAATGCTTGTCCTTGATGTCAACCAGGGACCTTCCAGAAATACTGGAACCTGGTGGGAGAAACAAGGCAAGCTTGGCCCACCTCACTGCTTGCATCAGACAAAAGAATAGCAGCAATCCAGTGATTTCGCTGAATTTTCTCTGTAGATCTGCTGTGTGTTTTTTATCAACGTAATTGAGTCTCAGATCCCAAAGAAGGCAAGAAAAATAGTCAAAATAATTTCACTAACAAGTTATTTTCTCTCATTATGAAAATTTTCTAATGGTTTAATAAAAATAATTTTTAAAAATTATTTGTAATTCCATCCTCCAAAGACAAATAGGGTTAAAATCTTTATTACATTTTAGTCTTTATTCTGTGCATATCTGTTTTTTACAAACTTGGAATCATATTAGGCATACCATTTTTTTTCTTTATTGATTAAGGTATTACATATGTGTCCTTATCGCCCCATTACCCCCCCACTCCCCCACTCATGCCCTCACCCCCCTGGTGTCTGTGTCCACTGGTTAGGCTTATATGCATGCATACAAATCCTTTGGTTGATCTCTCCCCCTTATCCCCACCCTCCCCTACCTTCCCTCTGAGATTGACGGTCTGATTGATGCTTCTCTGTCTCTGGATCTATTTTTGTTCATCAGTTTATTTTGTTCATTATATTCCACAAATGAGTGAGATCATGTGATATTTATCTTTCTCTGACTGGCTTATTTAGCTTAGCATAATGCTCTCCAGTCCCATTCATGCTGTTGCAAATGGTAAGAATCCCTTCTTTTTTACAACAACATAGTATTCCATTGTGTAGATGTACCACAGTTTTCTAATCCATTCATCTGCTGATGGGCACTTAGGCTATTTCCAAATCTTAGCTATGGTAAATTGTGCTGCTATGAACATAGGCATGCATATGTCCTTTCTGATTGGTGTTTCTAGTTTCTTGGGATATATTCCTAAAAGTGGGATTATTGAGTCAAATG